TTTTTTATTATTTACAGATTTAAGTGAGAGCCAGAGAGGTAGGGGTACTTGAGGAGAGATTTGAAGAGAGATAGGAGGTGTGGACGTTTTTCTCAAAAGTTCTAAAACCTCTAAAATAATAAAATATATAAATTTGTAAAGTAATTTTTTTTGTTAAAAAAAAATTTAGAAAATAATCTTTGTTAACATTTTTCTAAAAGAATTCATTATACTGCATAAAAAAATATGATTTACTAATTGCAAAGTAACATAATAACATATACATGTTTAGTGCCAGAAATTTATATCTGACAATTATATAAAATATTTCAATTTTTGCATGACAGCACTTGACTAATAAAATTAATGTATTTCAATATATACAATATTTTTAAAATATTAAAACATTTTAAAGACAACTTTTTTAAAAAACTAATGATAACTTTATACATATAAGCGAGCTCTACAAAGTTATCAGTTAATTTTTTTGAAAAACCTCTTCTGTAAAAGTTAATTTTGTTAAAAAAAAACAATCTTCAAATCAGTATAACTATAGAAAAACCTTAAAAAAATTAATCGATAACTTTGTAGTGCTTAGTTTTATATACAGGCTTTTTTGGGTGTGAGCATTTTGCATGAGCTAATGAACATCTTAAGAAAAACCATCAGGCAACAATTGATTATAGAAAGTACAAAGTTATTATTCTCAAACATGTGTATATAAAGTTATTGATTATTTTTTAAAAAAAATTTGTTTGTAAAAAGTTTAGTATTTTAAAAAAAATAGGTTTAGGCCACAGATAAGTATTTAGGTTTACTTAGATATATGCCTGAGTTCTTTTTTTTAGTTTTAGATTTAAAATATAAAACCTTTTTCGATTATGTAAGAAGTTTTTGTTAAATCTAATAAAGATAAAAGTATGGTTTTACCTTTAACATTAAAAAATATATATATATATATTTTTTAAAAAAATACTATATCTTTTTGATGCAACAAAATTGTTACAGCAGATCCTTGATTTTGATTGGCTAATAGCTAGGAACCTTCAAAATTTTGGTCTATATTATATAATTGTTACTAATTTCTAGCCAGAATTATCTTTTTAATTTTTTATTACAAATAGTGTTTCACAGAACCAAACCAAAGAACTGAAACCGACCAGAACTGATCTCTTGTTTGGTACTAGATATATCATTTTTAGAATAATCCAGTTCTGAGTCACAATTCATACCCAAACCTATAGTTTAATATTATGTAACAAAAAATCTAGTATAAAAGAAAAAATTTTTTTCTTTAAAACATGTATATAAAAGAAGGAAATTGCTATTTCTACCTTTATTTTTGCTAATACCACCTTCTAAATTTTAAAAAATACTTCAGAAGAGGCATTATTATTAAGAAAACTCTCTTTTTAATCTTAATAAAAGTTGTTCATCGGGTCTTTCTGGTTCTAATAATAGTAAAATTATTAGAATTAGACCAATAGTTTTTTTTTAAAAGCAAATAAAATTTAATTAACTTTGAATATATATATTTTAGAAACTACTAATCTGAATATAATAATTTGTTACAGATAATCGTAAAATCCAAAATCATTATAAAATTCCAATTTTTAAAATTGTTTGGGATATATTTTTTTAGGCTTTTTTTTTGAATCCGGACTAGTTTTAGGGTTAGGGTTTATAATAAAAGAGTATAAGTGGGTTTTGTTAGGGTTGTGAAGGCTTATATTTTTAAATTAAAGCCTTAGATTTCATGATGATCCGATTTCACCATAATCCGCGACATTTTATAATATAAAAATAATAATAATAATAATAATATTAAATATTATATTAAAAAAAAAAAAAAAAAAAAAAAAAAAAAAAAAAAAATTATAATAATAATAATAATAATAATAATAATAATAATAATAATAATAATAATAATAATAATAAAATAATATATAGTTATTGCATACTTCGTATGCAATAACGGTTTTTATTTTATGCTTTACTATCTCAGATTTATGAAATAGATCAATTATTTTATCATTTAAAAATACAGTACTATAAAATAATTGATTTATTTTATATAACCGCCAACGTGATGTGCAAATGTTACACAAAAGTGATGTACAAAAAGTTTATCAAAAAAAAATTTTGACTATTTTCTGATATGGATTAACATTATCAGCGTGGGACAGGCATTCAGCAGGTCCAACGTTCGATTCCGGCTGTGTCTCTTTCACTCGATGCTGCCGAGAGTGCGAGCACGGTTGAAGTATCCGAATATAGTCTATTGATATATACCTTGCAATTCGTTGCAACTTTTTTTTTTATATTTTTTTACGTTATCAAAAAGTTCGGGTCACGTTATGCAAACAGCCATCAAATATCAAGATTTCGAAATATTTTTTAAGATTCTAGCGAAGGTTTCTCGGTAATGCTTGATTAAACTCAGTAAAAATTTTTTTATTTTAATTCTACAAATTTGTAGAATTAAAATAAAAAAACTCATCGAATTAGGATAGATGGTTGTTGAGAAATCTTCACTGTAAGTTTATAAAACAGTATTGGAAAAAATTAAATCGGGTAAATTTTCTTTTTATTTACTTTAAACGAAGATTTCTCAATAACCATCGATTCAAATTCGATGAAAATTTTTTATTTTATTTTGTAAGTTTATAGAATTAAAATAAAAAAAAATTATCGAAATTGATAAGTGGTTATTGAAATCTTCATGAAATGTTTAGAAAAAATTAGTCGCAGCTTCTTACTTTGAAGAGAAAGATGAACCCAGTGATCATCACGTCACGTGAATCATGCAATTACGTTATTTGTTTACTAGCACTAACCTAACACTAACCCTAACTTAGGCCGAATGATTTATCATGTTATGTGATGATCACTGGGTTCACTGTTCTTGAAACCGAAACTGGTTCTACTCCAAAATCACGAAAGACAGATTCTCGAAAAGGACACAATACCGACAAAGTTAGCCAGCATTAGTTATAATGCTGGCTAATTTAGTCAATATTATGTTTTTTCGGGGAAATGGCCTTCGGGATTTTGGGGTAGAACCCTACTTATATAGCTTATTAAAATTAATTTTAATACATTTGTTGACTGTAATCTCGGCCCAAAATTATACTAAAATTTTATATTCTATATATAGTTCTAAATCTAAAAAATTCCCAGCCGGGGCAACACGATTGAGTCGGAACGATTTTATTGTGCTTTGCAAAAATGTGTGACCTCTACAGATCATAATGACACGTAAAATCACAAAAAATCAGACGATTCCAGTAGATATTTCGATTCTTAAAGAATTTTAAAGATTCCGAATAAAATATATACTTTATTGATCGAAAATTATGATCAAGTAATTTGGGTTATATTTGTATTTTATAAAACACAAAATAATAAAGACCAGGCCGAAGTTTTTGATCAAATCACAATATTGTTTATTTTTAATATTTATTTTAATTAAAGGATAATATCCTTTATCTTATTATTTTGCCATTTCTATCAATTCTATACAACATATCCACAAGATAATAATAATTAGGCTCGATAAATTTTATATTAAATTGATAGGATGAAAAAAAAAAAAAAATACACATGCTAATTTTTTAATCCAACATACTATATAATCGATAATACGAATTGTAACTATTTACAATAACGATCAGCTTTAACTTTTTCTCGACGATCCAGTAATCTATAAAGAAATATTTGTAATTAGATATCAAAATAATAAAGTTTAATAATTTAAATATAAGCTTACGCTTCAGAGAAGTTTCCTTCCTTCTTAGCCTTCTTTAATTCAGATATATCTTCTTTGGTGGTCTTTATTCGACCACCGCCCCAGGTTTGATATTTTTTTCTGTAAACATAGGAAAAGATTTAAATAACTTAATTTTTAGAGTATTCATAGAATGATAAAGAAAATAATAATACATACATTTGCTCAATCTCAAATTCACTAATTGGCTTACTCTCTTTCTTAGTACTCTTTAATTTTTTACGAAATCTAGCTTGACATTTTACGTGCCAAGTTTCACAAAAACCAATTGTCTCTACATCAGCTCTTAATTTATATCCACCATCAGCAATTTCATCAACACTCAAAAATTTGTCATAAGAATTTTGTAATGCAATTCCATCATTCTTTATGATCGGTCGCCATTCTTCTTGCGGACCTATAGCTTCTCTTTCAGCAGTAATCGTGCCAAATTTGTCAGAAGCAAGATATTTACCATTAAAAGTTTTTAATGATATAGTATCACTTCCGCCAGCTATTCTAGAACCCACAAAGGCGAAAGAAACTTCATCGGGCTCACAAGTTTGAAGTTTTTTATCAGGCAAGGGACGAACACCAATGGAGTGATCTTTCTCGGAACAGAAAAGGCATGATAGAGGTTCACTATTAAATATAAAAAATAGAGGTCCAACCAGATCTTCCTGAGTTTCAACAGGCACCCAACCTACAGGATAAATGGGTATTTAATATTTTGAGGAATAATTCTGTATATACTGTCAACACGCTCCTAATAGTCTCAGTACAGCTTTATGTTTAATCTTTTTAAACGTTGCCTTTTGTTTTTGTCCAACTTATGTATCATTGAAACACGCTTAGAGAGTTGACTAACCTTCTTGACTGCTTTCTTCTTCAATTGATTCTTCTGCTTTGCGCTTTTTCTTTTTTCTAGTAAAAAAAAAACTTAAAATAAACATTTATTGAGACGAGAGTTTTAATTTAACATTGAATTCCGAAAAATTACTTGGAAGATTTGTCTCCTTTAAAGCTTAGTTTTCCTGTTGATGCAACTTTATACTCGGACATTGTAACAAAATAAAGTATTTATCGTGAATTTCTAAAATTTATAGTTATACCTTTTTATGTAGAACTTGCTCGAATACAGATTGTATCACAAACACGGAAGTTACACAATATTATAAATCAGATATATTATAAGAAAGCCAAAGCAATTTCAAATTTTTTAACGTTTGATCTTTAAAAGAAAAAAACAACTAGTATGGCCGCAGGAGATTCATTACGTTATCGTGCACGCACGATGGTCCCATCCGGTATTTTTTTAGTCTCTTACATCTATCAGGAAGGTTTTTTTTTTTTTATTGAAATAGCTGGATCTTTCCAATACAACAGGGCCTCCGGAAACTTATGGCACAAGAACTATGACACTTCACCCGGAAGAACTTGAAGAGGTACAAAGTTCAGGAGAGGAAACAAGTAACTCTCCACAAACTATTGGAACTTTGAAACTACGTGGTGGAGGACTTTCAGGGGATAGAAAAGTAAAATGGGATGAAAACGTTGTTGATAATGAAGGAATGGGAAAGAAAAAATCAAAAGGTACGTCCCACATATTATACTTTTTATATATTATGTGTCGATTTATTCCTTATATTAACGCTATTATTATTTTATTATTATTATTATTATTAAGTATGTTGTATCTACCATAGGCCGAAACCATTTGATGAATCGTCAGATGAAGACTCGAGCAGTTGTTCTGATGATTCCGATCATGATAATGAAGGTGAAAATAGTCATCATAACCATAATCACCATAGAAAGAAACGGACTGGTAGTCCAAATGCTTATGAACGGCAACCACATTATAAAGGTATGGATTAATTATAATCAAATATATCAGTACATCAATTAGAGGGTTTCAAAGTTAACGAGAATAGCGTATTTCAGAAATAAATACGAGCTTTAATATCAAAATTAAGAATGACCAAAGAAGATTTCATTTCACAAAGCAAAATTTTTTTTAATTTATTTATTTACGCGATAGTCATTATTTGTACAGAAAATAGTGGTAGTTGTAAGACGAAGGTAAAAATAAGCAGCAGAATTTGATTGAAAATAAAATACGATCCTTATTTTAATTTAACTCTGAAACCCCATTATGCGATATCAAAATTCTTAATTATCATCTTTATATTTATTATTAATATTAATTTTTTATTTTTTATCTTTTTTTATCTGTCGAATTAATTACTAGGTCGACCGCGTCCGCATAATAATTTGTCATAAAATTTAAATAGAAGAATTAACTGTAGATGTTCACACAATATTCGTGTACTGTAATTAACTTTTTATGTGCATTTATTTCGCTTTTTCTAAAGCAACTGCTAGAGGTTTGATATAGTATTTTACTCTAGTTATACATATATATACATATAGAAAATGATTTGTATTTTTTTTTTATTTTATTTTATTTTTTGATTAAACTTAATAGATGTTTCGAAATGAAAATTTTTATCTGAATAAATTTTTTAATAAAAGAATTCTTTTTAATAATATTAAGGTTCTTATAACCAAGAAGGGAGTTTAACGCCATTGCTCATATCGATATTAACTATGTAGGCTTAGTTTTTAATATTTATGATGTAATAGTAGGAATGAGAGATTGTAGATAATCATGTGGTAAACACACTATTCCTTTAAGGTCTTACCAGATTGATCACCAGGCATAGCAATCTTTAACATATGTTAAGGCGTTGTCAATTTTTAAGAATTCTACCGATCAATTTTTATCCTAAAGTAATCTAAAGATCACGTACGATATATATTAGTATGGATCAGAGTAAATAGATTTACTTTATCTGATTGCTATATAATTTATTAAAGGTGAAATAAAATTCCGCGTAAGTTGACATACTATACTATACGAATTTAACCATATAATAAATAGATTAAAAATCAAACTAAGTACGTACGTACAGTATATATTTTTCTTTTGGTAAAAGTATATACTAAAATTTATATACGTATAATACGTATGAATAAAATTTTACCAGTTCTTATTTGTGTGAAACTCGGTTTTGCTAAATTTGTATTTTTTGCTTTGATTTAACCAATATTATCGACCGTTTTTTAGGTCTTTGTTCATTTCGGTCATCAGTGTGTTAATTTAGAAATACTTGTAATACTAATATAGAAACTAATTAAATAAAGTTTGGTCGGGTATATATATTTATCTATAAAGATCATATGCCAGCAGATAGTACAGTACTCGAAATTTCTACACTTTCTTTTTTAAAAAAGTTTCAAGAATAAATACAGACCTTAATATATGCAGTTTAATAGGTCTTACCAAAAGCTACTGAAATATAACCATATTTATATATATGATTTTGCAATTACTAAATTTTTAATACATATAAATTCTTGATACTCTCACCATAGTAGAAACTAAACTGTATATATTGTGCCTCAGATTAAAGCCTGCGTCAATGTTTTTTTGGCTTAAGTTAGAATTAGGCTTATGATAGAAGTGTATAGTTTAGACCAATCCGTTAATTCTAGTCGATAAGTTGTTTGGCACCGCATTAATCCGAGGTACAACATACGTTACATATAAAACTTCTCCCTAACGCTAAACTTTACTTTTTTATATATTGAACATCTTCCATTATTGCCCTAATTTGACTTGACTTTGAGCTTACAGGTTCGGGATTTTACGATACATGTACGTACATACGGACGTACGGACATATGTGCCTCTTTACTTTCTTCTAAGCGAACAGACCCCTTAAATATGATAAGCGTTGTGCGACCAGTTTAAATTAATAAAAACAAAATTATTTACATGCACCACATCATAGTTTATTATATATTTTTTAAAAAAATATATATAGTGTTCTAAACACATTGAGAATTAACTTATTTACGGAAAATAAAATTTATGTGTACAATCATAAACGCACGTTCAATTTTATACATTGCGTCGCATGAACATAAATAATATTTGATCTACATTATTTGCCATGTAGAGTCGAAATAATAAATACAGAAATATTGGCTTTAAAAATTTGGGTAATTCCAAATAAAGAACAGATAAAAATGGAAAAAGATAACACGTACGTAGTACTAATAAAATGATATTAACAATTAAATCCATTGATCCATTAGATATTCAAAATATGGTATTTTATTTCCTATCTACGTTTACTTGGACTATTTGTTAACTATATGCCTTCGTTCCTGGTTTCTAGCGCGACTGCGTGGCAGTTCCTCGATTTTGATTAGCTAAGAGCGACGATCAAAAAATTAGGCCGGAGTTACTTATAATTTTACATTAAGTGAAAATTGTTCCTGGGCCAGTTTTACCATAATGCGGGCTTATTTTTTAAAAAATTTCTATTTTTGTAATGAAAAAAATCAAAAAGTTAATTCCGGCCGGAAATTAGTAACCATTATGTAATGCGGGCCAAAATTTTGGCGGCACTAGTATTCCGCAGATCCGATCCGAGATCCGGATCCGATCCGGATCCGAGGGGTCAGATCAGATCCAAATCCACAAATATAAGATCCGACAAAATTCGAATCTACTAGTGCTTAGCACAATCAAATAAAAATTTGACAGTCAAATACTTGTTAATACTTAAGTTTAAATTGGATGTTAAATGATTGCAGATTAAGGGTATAGACATTTATCAGGTGATTTTTTAGGGGAGAGGGGGTCAAAAAAATTAAAATTTTATATATAACACCTGATCAATTGTATATTAAGAGCTAGAGAGAGGGGGTAAGCCTCTGATAAAAAAAAATCAGGTGATAAATGTCACTACTCTAACCAAAGCTAAATATATACTATCTGCTATTGGTTAATCTGCAATTATTTGATGTCTGACTTAATCACAAGTATTAACAAGTATTTGACTGTTAAATTTTTGTTTGATTGTGCCGAGTACTAGAATCCACATAGGAGATCCAATTCAGTATACCTATTAAAATCTGTTCGAATAATATATACTAATTGGCTGTAGGTTGTGTACTCTGATTAGTTAATTATAATAGATAATCTCTAAGCCATTATAAAAAAGAGTGTTTTAAAAATTTTACTAAAAAAAAAAAAAGCATTATAAATATTGTATGAGCCTCTTTTATATGAATATTAAATAAGAACTTAAAAATAATTATAAACCTTTTTTTTTATGAATTTATATAAGAAAAGGGTGTAGTAACTTAGTAAAGTGGTGGAGTTGTCGCACACCCAGATGGCAGGTCTAGAGTTCAAATCCCATAGACAATATTTTCGAAAAATAGCCTTGTGATACGGTTAATGGCTATTCAATATCAGTAGAATCTAGAAATCTGTAATCTCAGTTACACTATCTAGAATAGAAGCCTTGGCGTAATAAATCTAAGATACCGGAAGAACCGAAAACTCGTTTGGCAAGTCCTGAGTTGGGAGGAAGCACAATCTTTGACAGTACTACAGGAGGACCGAATTTGGAACTGGGAACTGAGACTGGAGAACCAAGCAACCAGGTCCTTAAGTGAGAGAATATACCAGCTGAACCACCGGGCTGCCAAACCCAGAGGAAAAGGACATGTGCTCTGGAAGCATGTACCAAGAGAAGAAAGACTATAGATACCTAAAGTCTAGATGAACCAACCCTTCCGGGTTGCTGGCTGGAAGTAAGGAAGAGACTGATAAAGAATCCAGGAAAGAAGAAAAGTTCGAATGTGGATGCTGGGGTTGTGTGAACCCAAATACAAAGGCAAAAGAGTACATAACAACTACTAAAATAGGAAGGTTGTAGTTTAAGATACGGATCAGGTTACAGCAGTATCCTAAAAGATAGCTTGAGACATGAACTTGGTGGCAGCAACACAACAGGTACTAGATTAGGAAGAAGTTACCGAACATGCAGATGAATACATATGTGGGATATGTACCACTCTGTTAGGTTTACCTTGAGGATAAAGTAGTTCTAGATAGGGTGTGAAATCTATAGATGTCGCAAAATCTAGCATATGAATAGTGAGTTACACCTTGGTTAGGTAAGAAATAATGTGCCAGTTGTGACCAGAAAGTTTAAATAGGTAATCCCCTAGTTGGGTTGTAGGTATAGTAGCTAGTGTAAAACCTTGGGCAGACTACTTCAAAAGTTGCAAGTATGGCTAGTCATACTCTCACTTGTAAAAAGCCAGAGAGCTTAAATAGGTAATCTCCTAGTTATATTGCAGGTATGGTGGCTAGTGTAGAACTCAGGTGGACTACTTAAATAGACAACTAAAAGTTGTACGTGTGACTAGTTATACTCTCATCATAATTGTAAATGTTATTAATTATCTAATAAAAAGCCCTCGGCTATAGAGATTACTTTAACACCAAAAAAAAAAAAAAAGAATTTATATAAGAATTATAAGAATCTTTTTTTTTTAAAAAATAATGAATATGATACAAAAACCTTTTTTTTTAATAAGAAAAAAACTAAAAATTAATACTAAGATTATAAGATATTATATATATATATATATATATATATATATATATGTAAGAACTTTTGCGTTTTGCATTTTAACTTTTACAACTTATCCTTTAAACTGTATTCCAGGCAAATTTGCCTGGAATTTTAAAAAGTTTTTATAATTTTTTAAATAAAATTAAAAATTATTAATAATA